GCTGTCTCTCTCATCTCTCCTCTCAAGCCCAATGTATGCACTTACTACTGTGTACAGCGTCCAAAATAAACACTATAGGTCAGTACGGAGGCAGCTGCGCATTGTCCTTGCATTAAATGAGCCCTGTGCTTCTGAATAAGTCAGCAGCTGGAGCCTACTTTAATTGCTTCACATGAGTCAAGATGTATACCAACTCTAGGAAAACAAGGAGTCTAAATACTAATCTACAGCACTAAAGAGGCACCTATCTTTGCCACTTAAATGAAGCAGATAATCAAGATATAAATGCACATGTTTACCCAAAGGTACGTTTTTACTGTTATATATTATCACAAAAGTTAAAAGAAAAAAAAATTCTGTTAGCTCATAAATGTGTTGCTATGTCAGTAATCATTGCTCTGTACTGTATAAAGCAGGATTTACAACAGTATCGATTTCAATTACTTGAATAAATAACTAATAGCATGGAAGCTAATCTTGAAGGTTCTACCTTCATTCTCTAAGTAGATTATTGTACAGATTCCTATGTTTGGCTCCCATCCCTAGGTTGCTTTGCTGATTCAGTCTCTTTTAACCTATCCAAGGGATGGAAAGCCAGTAAACAACCCAACTTGCAATATGCATACACACAACAGCTGTTCTGTTGTGTGTGTTGAGGAATGTGTAAAAAAAGTCATTAACTGCACTGCTGAATATAGTCTAAAAGATGTACAGAAGGCAATAATAAGGATTTTATTACTCCAATTTATATGGCTAATATTCATAAATGACCAATTCTTATTTTTCCTCCTCCTAGTAGAAAAAAGGCTGTAATTATTTAAAAGGCATAAAAGATCCCATGTGACAAAAATCTAATTATTTGAAACAGAAGGAGACAGACTCAACCTTGCCCTTCAGGAACACTAACACGCAGGACAATGTTTTGTGCTGCTTGCTCCTGCCTGATCTTTGGTGTATGCTTGCTTTGATTGCTCCTGTTCAAATCCCCTCCGCAATTAATGATAAAGTTGTCTGTAGGCACATTTTAACTGTTGTTAGCTCAATGCAAACACAGTTGTGGTGACAGCAGGCAAGTCATTATATCTGACCACTTGAAAGTGAATAAGCTGTATTTGCTCAGACTTTACAAGGACCTTTGGAAATAAGAGAGGAAGATAAAAGCAGGAATCATTTACAATCTAAGCCATCCAGTCAATGCAAATAAGGATTCCACTGCACAGATAAGTACAAATGTTTGTCTGGATACCATATGCATTTAAACTAAGGAGATGTCTCCAGATCATGGAGATGAAAGAAACTGAATAATCTAATTCTTATGAATATATAAAGGCACCACCATGACATATTCAGGAAATCAAACTTTCTCTGTTGATCTCAGAAAATTAATAGTTCTGTGATTTACAAACAGCTGACATGTCTAAAAATGGCAGGTATAATTGCTTATCTAAATTACTAGGTAAGTCCTGCTTGTGTCTTCTTCTCTGTAACACAAAACACTTCAATTTTTGGTAAATTGTAGTAAGTGATTGTTAAGGAATTAATAATTTCCTAATATAATGTGTCATCCCCAGCAGAGTGGTTTACATGGACAGCAAACGTATGAGCACCTACACTAAACCAAACTGGTATAACTCTCATGATCCCATCACATTCATAGTTATTACCACTGCGGGCAAGCAAAAATAGCTTATCAGGTAAGAGGAGTTAACTACACCAGTGGAAAAATGTAGCAGCGCTAATCTAAGAAAGTTTTACCTTTTACAGATCTGTTGGCCTCACCTCATTTCCTTCCAAACAGAACACCCAGGCTTCCCCAGCCTGGTGCCATCCAGATGTTTTTGATGACATCCTCCAGCACTTCTGAGTATTGGTCATGTTGTTTGGGATGATGGGGTTGAAGTTCCATACATCTGGAGGGTACCATTCTGGATGTTGGGAAAGGCTGGTCTAGAATGGACTGTTCTAGTAAAGTAACAGATGGGGGATACCACTGTTGAATGCCCCCCATGTTGAAAAAACAAGTGCTCATTCCAATCAAGAGATTAGCACATCTTGTTGCAGGGAGGGTATTTCATCCCTTTGCTTGATCCACTGTTTCTTGTTCTATTCTTTACGGGGATTTTTTTTAATCTCATGGAAGCATTCAAAAATATGATACCCCCACATGTAGTCGAAATGCCCCACACTCCATTCCACCAACTCATTAACAGACAGGACCAAAGGGGAAGATAAGACTGGGAGATTGGAGTAAATGGCAACGTGGTGTTAACAGATATGATACGCTCTGTCCCTTCTCTTTCCTGAAGTTACTGGGTCTGCCTGTTGGAGCTGTGGTGAAGTGTCCCAGAAGCCCTGGTGAAGTTGCTCATCTCCTTCCCCCAATCCTCACTTAACTAAATAAAATAAACACACTTACTTGGAGACTGCATTTCTCTCAGGAACATTATGAAAGAAATGTTAAAGCAAACTCATTTTTTAAATTCCTTTTTATGGTTTTCCCATGTGCTGAATGCTTTAGCTACAACTGAAGCAACTGATACTCCCAGGTCTCTTATTAAAGGGTCATGAAAAATACTAAATCTCTTCCCTCCTCTTACCTTGATCATGCTAGATAAGGAAATGGGGGAATAGGAAAGACTGTCCTATGCTCCTTGGGGCATAGGAGTCATCAGGTCAGATCTGGGAAGTGGGAGGTTGTTTGCAGATGGCTGGCTCTCAGCACTAATGATCAAAGAAGGCACTGTGCAGCAATTCTGTGTTTTTCTTCTGTTTTTCCACAGTAGGGAAAGAGACAAGTGGAAGACATCCCCTGGATTCTGTGACTGCGGACAATACACCCCCAAAGCCAGGTTATTCAGAATGTTTTCATCACCGCAAGTACGCTGCAGCATAAACACATTGCTGATACTGCCTGGAGGCCCAGCCTGCCATTCTCCATCAGCAGCAAAACCATACAGCTCACTAAGCTAGCTTCTTTTCACTTCCAAGACAACTGCATACATCACGAAAATACAGCCAGAAGGCAGCACAGGTATGTCACCATAAACAAAGACCGCTATGCTCCTGAGCCTCCCATGTGGTTGGAGCCACATTTGGACATCATATCATACCAGCACAGGTTGTGGCACGGACCCAGCCATGGGCCTCTAACACTGCTGCAGCAGTACACTGGATTCAGTAACATGTCTACCTGGTCTCACTTTTCTAAATCTCACCAGGCATGCATGTATGCTTCATAAATGTTGCCATTATTAAACTAGGGAGACCCAGGAGACATCCTTAACAAAGTGCCATTTTCACAAGGCTGCTACTGGCTTGCTGCTCCATGTCCCCTGGATACTCCTGACGTACTCGTGATGAAACAGAGCAGCACTGGTTGCAAAAGTTTCTCCATCCTTCCAAACTAAGTGGAAACAGATATTTTAAAATGCATTCCTTAATCTAACTTTTGCCAGGCAAATTTCCTTATAGTACAGTAGGTAACCAATATTTTTGCCAGTTGATTTATATAGCCTGTCAAAGAGAAGTAATGTTATGCTCTCAGGTGAAATCTGTTTGCAAATACTTTTTGCCAAGCACATGACTCTAATTCACACAGCGGCTCTTACTCACGCCTTTGCGGTTATGGAATCGGTTTCTTTCATACACGCTCATTTTCATGGCCCCTGGGGCATATTAATTTATATTCAGTACTGCAGTCCAAGATTCAACAGCACATTATTCTTACCAATTCCAAAGCCCTTCAATTCTCTGACGAAGAGTTACACTGTTCTGCAGCTGGACTATAAAATATTCTTCATGCTGATATGTCTCGCAGAGCATGGATCACTTTTACAGCCCAAACTGAAGCTGCATTTGATCCTACGTTTACATGCTAATTGTTTTACATGGATCTGCTTGGTATTTGTAGTGCATACCATGAAGTGCTTTGGAATACTTGCATGAAAGGTTTTCTGCTAATGAAACCCACTAGATTTGAAATACTACTGGTTGCCAGAATTCTAGCAAGACAGGATATGAAAGAAAGAGGGAAAGAAGCGGGGGGGAGAGAGAGAGAGAGAGAGAAGGGCGGATGGGCAGGCAGGCATTTGAAGTCAGAATTACAAAAGCATAAAAAACATTTGCTTATGAATTCCCTCAGGAAATTAATCCTCACCATTAATTATGACAACTTAAGACTTCCTTCATGCAAGGTTTTGTAACCAGTAACCCCTGCTTTTTAATAAACTGCTTACTGTTCAACCTGTACTAAGTCTCCACATCTTTCTCAGATAGATAGCTAAGACAGATAGATAATTGGTTCTACATATTTCCAATGCCTATCAATAGAGTTCGGTAAGGACGTAAGGACATAAAAATAGTAATGTATACTAAACAACAGTAAGTTTAATGGAAATTTGAGCAAGGCCTTCACTTGTTCACACCTAAACATATTAGAGTAAGTACATGGGCCCCCTGCACATGTGACTGCATGATCAGCCACAACGCCCAATAATCTCTATACAGCAGATTAAAACTGTACTACTGCAGGCAATGACTGTCAACATTGCGGCACAGAGATTCTCTATGCCAGATTAGTGCTGCTTAAAAAAAAAACAGTCTCATGCTCTCCTGCTTAACTAAGTTACCCAAGGGCAGCATCAGCAAAGAAGGCAAAACATGATGAATTACTCAATGGAAAAACAGCTCCAACTGAACACTGTATTTCTTGCTATTTACAAATTAACTAAATATGAAATTTTGCAGAAAATGTGGACTGCCTGTCCAGCAGGTATACTTCTAGATATTACTTAAAATTAAAATTTATTCCACAGGAAAAATAGCCATTAATGTAATGCTGGATTACTTTTTAAAGGACCTCAAGACACTATATATAAACGTCTATAACATTATACAAGTAACAAAAGTAGTTGTATAATTATATGTTAGCTTCTTCTACCATGCACTGAATGAATTTGTCTCAAGTTAATGATCGCATAATTCACTCATCTGCGACTTACTGTGAGATGTGAGTTATTGGGGTCAGCAATGTCTCACCCTCCAGGTCAAGTTCATCTGCAAAGCTGTTGGTCCGAATGAATGGTGCTGTGTTCACATCTAAAAATGGTGAGTTTCTTTTCACTGTGAAAAGAAACAGGCAGGTAATGGTTAACATTGCTGCATTGCCTATATTTTAAGGACAGAAAAGTTTCAAAGTATTCTAAATATCAGAATATGTAATTTAGTTGAAATAATGAAAATAAAATAAAAGGCAGACTAAAGTATGTTTAATAATAACACGAATGAAGTAAAGGGGACTATGGTGCATATAAAGAAAAGGAGAGCTTGCTCTTTAATTTTTGTTCCCTTTGCAATTCTGAAATACATGAAATGCCCAATCTTTGTAAACTACAGAAAAATAGGGCAGTATCCAATCAGTACCCTTAACAAATGGGAATTCACTCTAGTGCAACAAGAAGCTATCTGTCCCAAGAACAGGTGAGAGGAATTTGCAGAAAGACCTGTTCCAACTGGGAAACAAGCATTTCTATTAGTTTCCAAGATTCCTTTGTGAGCTACTGCTTTCTGTTGCACAAGCAGCAGGCACCATGTGTACAACAGATCACACAGGAGCACAGCAGCAGTACTGGATTATTGGAATGAGTTCCCTCCTCTATGATAGATTCAGATGCAAGTGCACTCAAATGTTAACAAGGCAAGAATAATTTCATCCCCCTATAAAAGTGCTACCATGATGAATACTTGATATGCCTTAGTGGCCAGGTTCATGCATCGTAAGAAACCATGGTGATTTCTTAACATTGTTGGTCTGTCATGTCACCAGAACCCAGTTGCTGGGTTTCAGCATGCTACATTTGGTTCCCCAAAACCGCAGAGAGATACAACTGTTTGGTGTAAGGTTTCCATGCTTCACTGCAGCTTCTGGTGACCTGGAAACCTGGTTTTTATTGTTGGTGTTGAAAAAGCACCATAGAGTCCCATGGAGAGAGTGCCAATAGAAGGGGCTGCTCCAGACATCCAATCTCTGCTACCCATAGCTCCCTAATAGCACAAGCATCATGATTCACATTATTCCCATTGGCTGGGTGATGTACCCATCACCCTCTTCACTCTCTGAAAGAGGGAGAAATCAGGTGTATGAATGGAGGGAAGGGGAAGAATCATAGCACAAGTGTTTTAATTTAATTAAAAACCCTTTGAGTGATGGTGCTTCCAGGGAAGCATTACAGAGAGAGAGGTATACTCAGGAAGGGAGGGAGAACCCACCTCAAAACCTCAGTGGACCACTTGTGAAGTGGAGGCTGAGGACAATGGGGAACAATGCAGTACAGCAGGGGATTTTGCTTGTGGGTGCTGCTGGGATGTAGCATAAGAGCAGGACAGAGGAGGGAGCATAGAAACAGTGTTTTTCTGGAAACCATGCGACTGTTTGACCAGTAAGACCATGAGCCATGCAAGCCATTCAGGGGTGCCTGCCATAACCTGTGAACACAGCTAGTGCGTTCAGGTGAGAATTTTCACCCAGTTGTTTTTGGCACACATTCCAAGATCAAGCAGATTTGGACTCAACAGATGAGGAGGGGCTCTGGGAACCAGAATTCTCAGCCATTGCGATAGAAGAAGTGACTTGTCTCAAGGGTACCCTCTCAAAATATTTGGGTGGATATTTAGAATAGCCAGGATGTACAACTGCAGGGATGGGGCATGGGAAAAGAACTCCTGGAGCCAGCTGAGCCCATTACAACTCCTGACCCATTATGCAATGTCAGGAGAGATGGACCAATGAACTGGAGAGATGATGGACAAAGAAGAAATTTTGGGGTCCAGGGATACTCAAAAGGAGAATGCTTGGAAGTAACTGGTAGATTGGGTTCAATGAACAGTTCTGTGCATGCTCAGAGATTCTTTGTTGGTTGTGCTTTGTTGGTTGTTGGAAGTGCACTGGAGAATAAAGAACTTCTGTCAAAGAAGAGTCTGTTGTTTTGGAAGTGTGAAAACCTAATTCATGACAAAAAGTTTTTAGAAACAGACCTAATTACCAACTACCATCACTGGCTATCTCACCCAATTTTTTCATTATAATTGTCTCCTTCAGTTGCTTGTTGTTCGTTTAATTTCATTTCTGCACTGCCCCAAAATCAAAACTCTCTGAGCAGCTAACAACAATATGAGCAACTAAGCAAGTTCAAGCATTTCTCCCATGAACCAGAAATGGGACAACTAAGCTGCCTCCCAAATTGCAGCTCCAGCCTTGCTTAGTAGTTCTCTGAAGGCAGAGAACAGGTAGAAAAAGCCACCCTGTACTCCTAGTAATTCTATTATTCATTTTAGATTAATGGTAGATAACCATTTCCTCCAAGATTTGATAAAGCTGTATATTTGTAAGATAAAACAGAAGCAACCCCCTAGTCTTCTCATAAGCCACAGCAAAATGGGTGAAGTCCTATCACTGGAGGAGAAACAGCCCAAAGAGAACGCAAGCTTTACCTGGAGAAGGGGGAGAACTGGGAGATGGCTGCTCTGTAGAAAAGGATGACCAGGAATGCTGTCGGACTGAATGAACAAGTCAAACAGGAAAAAGGAAAAACAAAACAAAAAGATAAGACAGTGCACAGGAGACAGAAATAGAAAGGGAAAGTTAGATAGAGAGACAGTTATACAATCCAAGTCATAATTGTATTAGATAGTCACTAAAAATAGGAAAATACGTTTTAAAATTATTACTTCAATGAAAACAATGCCACTATAATTGCTCCTCTGATTTTCTTCAACATTACTCAAAAACCAACTATTATCAACAAAGGCTTCTTGAAGACATTAACAGTTAGTTCCTGCAGAACAGGCAATATTGTTATGGTTACCTAGTTCTCTCTCCTTTTCTTTTAGCCTTCCCAAATTATGGAAAAAGGAAAAACCCTCTAGAGTGAATCCAACATTGTCCAAGTAGACATCCACTCATGCAGAGAAGATCGCAGCAGATGTCTGGCTGGCTGCAGGGAGGAAGGGAAGTCTGTTCCACCAGCACATTTTATTCTGCTTATAGACCAGCAGCATTGGGTACACTGCACTACTTCAAGGTATGTTTAAAAGAACAGTCTTCTGCATATAAACAATGGGTTAGCTTTCACACCATGGCAACCCACCATAGGTGACAAGCTATGGAAGTCTGCTCGTGTGCCATATGGACCTAGACCTTTCCCCCTCCCTGGGGTGACTTCTTTGAGGCTAACAACCCACCCTGACAACCCATGGTTTGTTTTAGAGTTTACTGTACCCCCAGTGGGCTGTTGCATCATCTGAACATGGCTGAGCAATGCCATTCTGGGTACTTGGAGGTTGCTAGCAAGCTTCTTGGCAAGAATGATAAACACTCCTTGTAACACTTGCCAAGCTTATCTAGGCCGGGCAACACTTTGGGGCAGCTGTCACTGGTTTAGTGCTTCTGGCCACAAACCTTCCTCCTTTTTCTCCCCAGGGATTGCTTTTGACAACTAGTGACAGGCCCTTCAATGGGTACGCTGGAGGGGCTGTCACTGGTTCATCTCCTGCTTAAAAAATTAGCACAAACATGCACAATTTTTATACATGTTAAATTATTATTATGTTAGTTGGACTTGAGCAAGAACACAGTTTCACACTTTCACAGCTCTGAAAAGGGCAGCCTCATTTGTGAAATATGATCTGCTGTTAAAATATAGCAAGCAGATTGACCCACAGAAAATAAAAATAAAAAACTTTGACAGGTAACTGTCAAAAATCTATGTTCCTGTGAATACAGTGGCTTGCACTTTTCCACTTTCCTAGGGACTTAGTAAAGGCTGGGAAAGCGTGAGGAACCTGAGAAGAGCTGGGTTAAAACAAGTAAAGGATCTTGTGGCAAATGGGATATTTAGCAGTCACCCCCCTTTGCAGGCAGTGGTCACTTGCAGCTTTGCTTTCTCTTGACAGCTCAGCTTTTGACAGTTGACAAGAGAAAGCAAAGTCAAAGCTAAAGTTCCATGTCCATGGAGGATTCCTGCTGCACTTTCACAGCAGATGCCTCCCAGATGACGCTGCCCATTCTGGGCCCTCTAAAGATCACAAATGCTAAACTTCGACTAAAAATGTGTTTTAAAAATATGAAAAAATGCTCACATTTCTTTCCCTAAAAGAGGGGAGGTGACTACCAACTGGGCACTCTGTACCAACTGGGCACTCTGAAGGGGTTGTCACTAGCTTTGCAACAAAGAGAACACAAAACCAAATTCCAAAAAGAGGGTTAAAGGGACCAAAAAAGGGGGAAAAACACACACACACAGTAAGAACAAAAGGACTAGCAGTGGTGGCAATGAGCATACAAGATGGGTCCTACTGTCGCATCCTGTGGAATTCCTCCAGGAGAACCAAGGAGGGAGGAGGGACAGAGAATCCACAGTGACTCTGAACATCTGTCTAGTGTGCCACGGGGCACCCAGGGAACAACCAATCCCCCACAATTCGTTATTACCATGGGGGTTACCATGATGCGTGGACTTGCCCATTGGGTAAGAATTCCTCTCTTGTCAGAACTCAAATTTCACCACAAGTTCAGATGGGCCAATTAAGCCATCCAGGATTGCGGTCTCAGCCATGAAAAGATATCTGAACGCCTAACACTTTTCTATGAAGGGTTTTTTATTCAATAGGCTTTTAAAAGTCTGCAGCTGTTTATGAGTTCTTATTTTATGGTTGAACTGTATATTACCTTTGGACTAAGGTAAAAAGGCAGCCCAGCCATCTTAAACAACCTATTTACTTCTGTGGGAAAGGGGGTTTCTAAACAATTTTACCTAAACAGAGCCAGAGGCCATCTTTAGAAAAATAAATATTCCAAAAGTGAACCCCTCTGTGTTTGATTCTGTTTATGTAAGCTATTTCTAGCTCCAGTAAATGACAGTGAGAATATACATGCTAAGGATACTATCCACTGAATGTTATCTATTTTTAGGTTCCGCTGATTTCACTGGAAAATAATACACATTTTTAATTTTTTTCCATTGAAAAGTGAGTCACAGTTGCTTAACTCTGGCAATTCATTTCCTTTTCATAATGAAGATCTGAGACCCAAAATTTTGAGACCAAAATTATGGCAATGAGGAATGTAATAAATATATTAATAATAAGAGACTTGAGCTGCAATCCTGCGTGCATTTATCTAGGAGTCATTGCTATTGAACACAGTGGGACTGACTTCCTTGTAAACATGTATAGACTCGCACAATATCTAAAACCATGAAACTCAAGCCATTATCATATTTTATTAGTAAAGGTGCTAATACTGTAAGTGAACAAGAAAAAATGGCACTGAGGAAGGACTGAACTGACTCATTTGCTGTAATGGGAGCGAATGCTTGGTGTGCATCATATTAATTAAATAAATCATTTATAGGAAGATTGCTCATGTTTCTTTCTTAGTAACTAAACCACAGGCATGGTGAGATATGAAAAAATGTATATTTCAATTCGCCTCTCTTTCTTTGCACTACACAAAAGTAAGTTATAGATAATAGCCAGTAGGAACTTATGAAAAACACTGCAAGCAATGTTAAGCTTTTAAAGTCTGGCATGCTGTAGGTAAATGTATCTTCCTTAACTTACCAAGAAATTTGAACATTCCTGATTGTCCTGTATATTTGTAAGAGTTTCGAGAGAACAGAATACAGGGAGTTGGGAAGAAAAGAGAAGAAATGTCAGAAGGAAAAGGAAACCTTTGTTTCCAAAGTGAAGTTAGTACCTGCTTATAGATTATACACCATTGTCCAACAGTGAAAGTCACAGTTAAAGGTTAATGTTAGTCATGCACCGAAAGCAGTGAAAGAGAGCTTTAACAGCTTTTGTACTACATAACGCAGAAACTAAGAACTTTATGTGAACTTTCTACCTGATGTGCATTCAGATGTGGGATTCTCCATTGATATTTGCTTTCTACACATTCCAATACATGTGTTGCAATTGCAATTTATTTGTAAGAGTAGTTGACCATCTGACCCTCAAAGAAAGGGTCTGGACTTTAAAATTATCCAAATATGAGTAGCAGTTGTCTAAGAGAACAGAGTGGCACTTCACTTGTGTGCTGGTGGTCTGTGCAAATGTTCTTTAGGAAATTTTTGTTTAAAAAAATAGGATGTTTCAGAGAGCATAACAAGAAAAATTAGAGTATCATTCTATAAATGGAGGCTATCATTAAGGAGTCATGAAGTGAAGAAAGCAACAAACACCTCAGAAGACAAGGATCTGGATCCTAAAAATATATTGCCATACACTCAATTATGAGACAATGGTAGAGGCAGAAATATGACCAAATGGAGATACATTGCAGACTTTTTATCTAAATGTTTTAGTTACTACCTTCCTGGAACCATCATAATTTCAAATGACTACAGGAAGCCAGGAAACAGTTTTAAGAATATGGAGGATGGAAAATTCTAAACAAAGTGTCAGTTTCAATAAGGCTTTTAAAAGAAAATGAAAAAAAGAAAAATCAAAAGGCTACACAGAAATCATGTGCTATATCCCAGATTAAGGCCAGCATGTATTAGTGCTACAGATCCAGAGTTGTTCTCTCTAAAATTTTCAGATTTAATGGTTTTCTATTGGGATTATTTTAAAGACGGACTGTGGTTATCGGAATTGAAAAATTTTGAGACAGGCTATTCAAGCATGCGTGCACGCACATACATGTATAGCAGTGACCTGTAACAATGATGTTGAAACTGATGGGCAGCATAACAGAATAGCCACTTCCAAACTATCTTGCACCTGCCACTAAAGGTGCTGTTACATAATAAGTTCATCATTCTGTAGGCTACTGCAGCTACAGGTGTCTTTAGGGTTCAGAGGGCTATATAAATAGCACTTCCTAACTTTAATGCATGCAAGTTCCAACCAAAATTCTTACCAGTATTTTCATATGAATCCAACTGAAGGTTGTCAGATTTCTTATCATCCAGTGCATGGTCAAATGTGATTTGTGGAACTGGTAACATTTTATCAGGAGAAGTAGATCCATTATCTTTTTCTGTCTTGTATTTCTTCTTTTTTACCTAGTAAAGTGAAGGGGGGGAAAGCCTCTACTACGTTAACAACAGAATACCCTACAATAATTATTTTAATTCAAGAAAACAAGGTAATTTAAAATAAGAGAAAATAAAATGGAAATTAAAATTACCATTTATCACATGAGAAAGTAACATTGCAATTCTGTCTGCCCTACAATTTCTTTAGCACAATAGAACAGATTCTGGTGTAGCGTAAATGGTCTTGCTACCTGCAATTCAACAAGATAGTTATTTGAGTTTAAGAATGATTTATTGCTATGGCAGCTGTGTATTTTAACAAATTGTTGAATTGCAGCCACTTATTTTAATGACCACTACGTTTAATAGAATCTACGTGAGACTAGGATCTAACAAACCAGTTTCAGTGCTAAATTACACATGACATCCTAGGATTTTTAAAGGCATGGTAAATGAAAAACAAACATTTGCTTTGTTGCTGTCATTGTTTTACAAATCTAGATGATTACTTATGAGCACATAAATGCCTTACATGTAAATTCCACAGTAACTGCATAAGCTCAAGTTTGCATCAGTCCAGGAATCCTCATAGGGAACATGAGAAGTTAATTTAGTCCAGTTCAGGCCATTTGTATATCTAGACCACATTATTCTCTGCTCTGATTGGCAGACATCTCTCCAAAGCCTCGGCAGAAAGACTTTCTGAGATGAGATTTCTGAGACTAACTGGATATGGACAGGATTAAACCTTGGACGTTCTGCACGCAAACATTACACCACACTCCACACAGTTTGCAAGGGCTTGCCAACCACTGATAGGACTGGCCGATCAGTTATACACATGGCTGCATATGTTACCAGTTGATCTTATGGTTGATATTCTCTGCAGAGAATATGGCAAAGTATTATATTCCCCAGAAAGATTACTCTATGTGTAGAGAAATTCTTATCCTATGCAAAAGCATTCAGTTCATTTTAGTCTTAAATTCAAATGGAAAATATCAAAGGAGAATTGAAATGCAACTCATTACCGACACCATCCCAGTTTTCTTTGGCTTGGGACTAGGAGACATCAAGTGATAATTTCTGGAAGGCTTTTTAATGTATATTTTCCATGTGGAAGAGTCTGGATTTTCTGATGCATAGCAGCGCCAGGCAGTCTAAAATATTTAGAAATGCAGAAAAGATTAATGGTAATACTAACCATGTATATAACAACAGAAAACAGTCAATTTGCAAACTGTAACTTATAACACATCCTTATTGGCAAAGATGCATCTATTCTAGAGATGGTTAAAATTTCAAATAGTTCATTTCAGAAAATGGAACCCAGGAAACTCAAATGCAAATTAAAAATGAGTTCAAAATTTAAAGACATTTATCCTAATAATCTACTATATAATCTTCAAAATGATTCATTTTAACGAGGCCCATTCCAAAACAAAGCCCCCTCCAAAAGGAAACAAGTTTCTTATAGGCAAAAAAAGAAAACAAGAAGCTAGATTACAAAAATGTATGGTAATATATAATTGAAATAGATCACAAGTAGTGACAAAGAGTTAACAGAATTCATGACACACCTGATACACACTATAGTAAAACAAGCAATATTTACATTACTATTTACAAACACAAAAACCTTGAGCAATTGCTTGAATCATTCTATTTTAAGAAACATACAGAAGAAAGAATGTTGAATTTCTTTCTTCTGTATGTTTCTTAAAATAGAATGAAGCTACTTCTGCTTTATAAAAAAAGGAATGTCTAGAACTACATTGGCTAAACTCCTAACTATTTGAGAATGCTTTAAAATCCTTACATACCAGGACTGAAATAGGGATGTGTAAGAAAATAATTGAGTTGGACACATATGCACACACACATATCAACTTAATCAATTCAAATCTCTGGAACCTATATGCAAACTGGAACACAGATTCACTGTGAAATCTACAATTCTTGGAATTTGATGGTACAATTTGCAGCAACTCAAAAAATGCACACAAAAATACATAAGAACAAGGACTGTCCACAAAAATATATATTTTATGGTGAAATGGTGAAATATGAGAAAATGCATTAAATTAATGTAAAATTGCTTGGAAAAGTGTGCACAAAACAAAAATACATACAAAACATATATATTAGAAGAATATACACAGACAAATATAGGAATTCTATGCAAACTTCTTTGCATATGAGGAAAAGGGGAAAGTGACAAAGTGCAATTGGCAGATTTGTCGATCCCTAATAAGAGTTTCCTGCAATTGGCTTTTCTACACAAGTTCAATAACCTAGCTTTACTGCAGACACCTACTGAGAATTATCAAGTCCAGACTAGCTTCTGGACCCCATGACAAGTGCAAAGCACAGCAATTTTTAAAAAGATTTTGTATGAAAATATATTCAGGAAATGTAGCATTTAGTCGCCAAGTCACCTGAATGAGAGAAGCAGCTGCTGGAATTTGTCGGTTGAAGTGCTTCTGTCTTTGTTTCTGCTGTACCTTCAGAGCAAACCCAGAACCGAGAATGCCCTAAGGAGTAAAGGAAATAATTTCAAATGGAAAACCATATTGTAGAAAAATGAGTTTCTGACAAATTAGAATAGAATATGGAGCAAAGTTTGAGAGAGTGTTAAATAGAGGTGATAAGAGACGTACTGATAGCTATTGTCAGAATCTGGCTAGTCCAATTTGAGCTTTAATTTTCCCTCTATTTTATATTATATAAGAGCCAGATGTTTTTGCACATTTGCAGGTTTGCAGGTTTACTTAATCACATTGCATAACAGTTTGTGTTAACTGCAATACTGAGTATTGTCATGGCATAAAAGTTCGTATCATTTTTACATGTGCTTCTTTGACATATGCCAACAATTGCTCAGGTAGCAATAATAAACTGCAAATTCCACAACTCAACCTCTGTGAAATATGCAATACAACTGCGTGTGCAACGGACCTGCCAAGCTGTGCCTGGGGATCTTTTCTTGCACTGGAGTACAGAGCTGTGAAAGTAGGAAGTGCTATGAGGGGGAAACACGTGATGATTAATGTCCAAATACCATGGGAAAAGGCTGAAATAAAATCATCAGAGTTATGAATACCAAACTAGGTTCACCCTACCAGAACAGAGCTTCAACAGCCATTAACGCATTGTCGCCTAACATACTAATTTCTACAATTCTCCTTGGCAGCAAGCTGTATGGATTTCAATGGCTTCCTTCAAAGTACCTTTAGAAGTCCAGTATAACCATTAAAATACTGTGTAAAATTAATTTGTGTTTTAATGCAGAAAACAAAACTGAAATGCACATAGCATATATATCTCATTGCAATTTTAGGAACAGTTTGAAATATTCTAAGCAACCTACCGCAGGCAAGGCGAAAAATGAAATCGCAAAGACAGAAAAGCAAGATGCAATGGTTTTTCCTATCCATGTCTGAGGTACCTTGTCTCCATAACCAATGGTTGTAACAGTTACCTAAAATTAATAAATAAACATTATTAGAATGTAGGCATATAGCTTTGTTGATATTTGAATGCACCTGTTGAAATAGTATCTGCGTGACATGAAATATATGATAACAAGGGCAGAATTGATTATTAGTACTCATAATAATTTAAAAAAATTCAACATGGAAGTTCATGCCAACATTCCTTCTGTAGGACCTGCCAGTTACATGGGATAAGCATGAAATTTACAAAGCAGTAACAAATTCACATCAATATCAGTCCTGCTCCACCGACCTTTTAACTTTCTAATTATTCTTTCTAGCTCATTATACAAACTTAGTCTCCTGCAGTAGGATGTGATTCTAGCTGGTTTTAGCAGTATTCACTAGTTCCTAGTTTGTCTTCAATTTAAACATTTTAGTGGATTTAGAAAGCAGAAAAGAAGGTATGTGCGGTAGAATTCTCTTCTGGCTGAAAACTGCTAGTTGAACAATGAGACATAAAAAGCAATTAAGGATAGAGTAATAACTAAAAGGGTATTGGAATGTTTGCTAAAACCTCAATGTTGACATCATGATAGGTCTTTCTGAGCTATTGCTAAAACACATTAACCCTCTAAATCTTGGGGCTGTTCTAATTCTTTGCATTCAGAGAGTTCAGAAAGCTGTATTCCACTGTCACACTTAGAAACTACAGACTTGACTTTCTGGTAAATATTTGGACATCATGATGAGCTATGGGTTACTACAGTGTTGGAGAATGTATGGCCTTCCAGATGTTGGTGGACTACAATTTCCATCAACTCTAACCAACATAACTAGTGTTGAGTGATGATGGCAGTTGCAATCTTACACCAAGAAGGCTACACCCTCATTTAGCAAAATGTGAATAAGTGTAGCCTCCTTTAGGGGTTGCATGCTCCCTGCTCCCCCCTTTTCCTTCCACATGGCATGGAGAAAATGTTTGCTTCCACTTTCATGCACAGTTTGTAGTGTCATCTGGATCAACCATTTGTGGTTAATTTGAACTACAGTTAGCTTAAAACGAATCAACAACAAATCATAGTCTCTGAAGCTTGTTTGCTTTAAACTAGCCCTATTTAACATTAATCACTGTTCCTACTTTCAAATGGTATGGGACGCTGTGGTTAAAAGCAGAAATGAAACTCCTCCTTTCAGCTGCCGCAGGGAGAATGGGAGCATGCAAACCGAGGAGAAGGCTGGGCTCCACTGATATCTTGCTCATTTACAAGGTAGCCACCACTGTCAGTCCCTCTAGGTGTTTAACCCTCATAGTTGAATATTTATTGACTGGATTCATCCTAAAGTGGACAACTTTCCACGGAGTGGTTTATTTTTCTCAAACAAGCCACTCCACCAATCCGTAGCTTAATCTAGGAGTTGTCCATACCCCAACTGCTTGTCGTGTCATCCGAACCCAGGACAGCAATATCATTGTGGGCTGCCAGGATCAGCTATGGGGATGCATGGAAGGAGCAGCAAACCCCCTTACCATTCTTCACAGTCTTGCCTATGCCACCACCACTGCTGCCCCACTGAGGCACAGACAGCACTTTGGTCTGGCCGTCACTTGTCTACCATCCCTTTTTGTTCCTAGAAGTAATATTTTGCTGTTGGCAGTGGTCTTTGCAGCTCTCCCATATGTGTAGCCTTGCCTGGTCAATTTCCTTGTATGTTTCAGCTGACAAAGGGAGCACTGGAGATAAAGAACATACAAGAAAACTGACAACCTGAGTGTGTATTTAAGCTAAATTGTGACAAGGACGGAGAGGTTTGTAAGGGGAGCCTATTTGCACCACAGAGAAGTGATGGAAAGGGGGGAAACAATGGGAAAAGTGGGGGGGGCACCATAAGAATGAGCAATGTTTCTCACTTAGTAGTTATCTCTGTTTTAAGTGTTGAACAGTCAATTCTCAGTGTCGTCTACCTTTTTAACACTTCACTGAGCCTGCAGCTAGTACAGGAAGGGAAGGTATCAACTCCCCGCCTCTTTTATGGCTCCTTTTCTTACTGTGGTTTAACAGAACTGCATCAATAATGTTCCATGGGAGAAGGTGCAGGTACCACTGGTGCCCCATTTTCTCCATCCCATTTCCCTTCCCATTTCATTCACAATCCATGAATATGAATATAAACATTTCATTATTTTAAAATCAAATGGTTTAAAGGTAGCAAAATGGCATGAAACGAATGGACACCAGCATATTTCCACCTGACCCACCCCCATTGCATACCACACTTTTTTAACTTTAGGGAACCACAAAAACCTCAGCAGTAAATGCTCTGAAAAAGTGCTACAAGAGTGGGAGTTAATATCACCCTTTCCTTTTGGAGTAGCCGCATACTCAAGGCAGTGTTGAAAAGGTGACAACACTTAGATCTGTCAGTCCACACTGAAAAGGCAAGGGATAGATACTTCTACCCCACTTCTTTTGGTGCACTTTCTATGTTGGCTTTCTATTCCTCATCAACACAATTTGGGGGCTTCTGAATTGCATCAATGGCTCCTTCTTTTCCTATACTAGTGTTCCTACCCCGATCCTTTGCAGCTGTGAGAAAGTTAGCCATTAGGAAAACTCATATTGTTAAGTTCCTTGTATATTGACTACTCCACTTTGCCTTTGACAGTTTAAACATACAACATACAAGTAAATTGGCCAGGAAAGACTACACATAATGGACAGCTGCAACAGTATGCTTGCAAAAGGTCAAAGCAGCAGCGACACCCAATTGTACAGTTCTGAGACTCAGAAAAAATTTTTAAAAATGGGAACAAAGAGGGTGTTAGTATCTAATTCATACAATCAGAAATATTTAAATAACTGTTGTCCTAACCTAACTTGTATATTTCTACAAACATATGCATATATGGTATAAGAAAGAAACCTATCATTATAGGGTAGTTGTGTATGGAAGAAAATTAATTCAGGAGAAGGAAAAGAGAAGAGGAAATTGAATTACAACATAGTTCATGTTAACATGCTATAAATCTAAAGTATTAATTTAGACTTTCATGACTTGGAAAACTTTACGGTGCATGAGGTTTCAGAGCTATGGGCAGCTTGCCCAAGCCCCACTTTTCTCTTTAGGGAAAACCTTTCCAGTCCAACTCAAAATGAACACTCTATTGCTGGTTTTCCTTATATCAAGATACCTGCTGTTACATGCCTATGATTTAAAGGAATCTTAGTGAATGGGGAAAATATGACATGGACTCATTTACAGGGTATTTTCAAATTTTGTAATGCAGTTAGGACAAAACTGCAACTGGTTTAGGGTGAAAAGCTAAGCATTTGAGGGAGAAACAAGGACTACAATTCCCAGCATGCTCCAACCAGCTATGTTATGCTGACTGGAGTATGCTAGAGTATTGGTCACAAAGGGTTGGACCAATAATTAATTGCCAATACACGTTATTTATCCATGTTCAGAATAAATACAATAAAACACACTAAGGTCACAATCCTATGCATATTTAAACAGAAAAATGTCTTAGAACCACCACCACCCCGCAGCCAGCCTTACTGGGATCTGTAGAGTTTGCCTGTACCCTTAGAAATGCATATTTTGTGAGGAAAACATGTTCCAAAATATATATTTAAATATAAATTTCTATGCAGATTTTTTAAAATACAAGGGTCTATACAAAAAATAGACTCGTGAATATGTACAAAATGATATGGGCCAGGAACAAGCTGATCTGTTCATCCCTATCACTTATTCTTTTACAAAGCAGGTGAAGAGGGAAAAAGAGAATTACCAACAAATGAGACAAAGATTTGCATAAAATGTGCAAATCCATATTTGTATGTATAAATGTACATTTAAACCATGTTATCTATACTATACTATACTTTAACTATTCACCATAGTGGAGATGACTGGGACCAGATGATCTGTGTGGGAATACCAGAATGTAAGGACTTTCCTACTGGATCAGACCTGAGTCTCTATAGTCCAGCATTTTTTCTGTTAGACAGCTGGCAACTGGAGCATGTCCTGAACTAGTTCTTACATTAGAGTTGAAAAAGACTCCACTGAGCTATCTTGCACCATTCTTTATTAATTTCATTAGGACTGAGACAGAAATTCCCAAAATATTGTGCTAACAATTAAGCAAACTTTGAAAGGGAAGAATCAGGCATTTTATTTTCATTTCCCTAACTTGAACAATCATAATGTAGCTAACCTATTAATTTTCTGCTCAGTAAGCTCAACACATATTGTTTTGAAATATATTTTCTTTACAAAGTAAGAGAGTGGTTGAATAGAAGCTATTTATTCCTGAAAACCGGTATAGTACAATTGTATTTGCTGCTTTAACACTAGGATTGTAACGTATGAAAAAAGAATATTAGAACAGCTTTGTTTGATCAGCTGGATAGTTTTACAATGGTATTATCCACAGAATGATGTACTTGCTCCCCCAACAACCAGAGGAGTAAGCATTTGGCAGTGCTGAATCTTTGAGAAAATAATTTGCCAGCAAAGGATGGTATACTTGAAAGTTATATAAAGACAGGTCACAAAGAACAATGACGCAAACAAAAGAAAAGCCAGATTCAAGATAAGAGTGATGTGTTAACAAATACTCATGTTGAATTGCAGTATTAAAGGCTTGTGCATGTGTGCATTCACATATACTATGCTAATATATTTTCACATATACTAGGCTAATATAGCAGAGAAGTTTGTAACACCTTAAACATTAGCAAGTTTACTATGGCATGAACCTTTGTGAACCTGAGCTCAGAAATGTGTTACACAACAATGCCTAGTCCAGAATAACTCTGATTGTCTTTGTGGTGCCAGAAGACTCTGTGTTGTTTTTGCAACTTCTCTGGAATTTGCCTGTAAGTAAATATGTAAAATGCTTGATTAACTGCAAGTGTGGTCAACTGCAAGGACTTCAAAGTGTGTGGATTAAAAGGACTTACATGAAGTTTGTGGATTTTCAAGTGATAAGACTCCATAAGGCAGTTTAAGGAAAATAAAGCTGAAGTACTAATATTCAAATATAAAAGCGTTTAACCAGAATGAATACAGGGCACTCCATGTTATTTCTTTATGCATTTATTTCTATAAAATATTTTTATATTGATTCCCATCTTTTAAAAAATGCAAAGTAATTTTCTATAATTTAGTAAACACAACACTACAACACAAATTATAAGACACTATAAAACAAGTCTTAAAATGAATGGCTGTGGAAACTCAGAGTCAGCAGATAAACATCCAAGATTATTGGTGCCTGATGTACTGCATAGGGCATGTCATCCAGGCCACCTGGTGGCTACTCAAGAGAAGGCCCATTGCCAGAAAGAGAGCTACACGGCATGGAATGGACCCTAAGGCACCTTGAATATTGCAGTGGTCTATGAAAAGACATATGAACTTTCAATTAACCTAGTCCTGAGTTGTTTAGGTTTTATATGTCAATACTAAAATCTAACTCTATAGAAATCTGTAGCCATGATAGCTACACTGTAAAGCTATAGCTATACTGTGACTCGTGTTGTTTACATAGGTAAAGGTTTCCCCTTGACATTAAGTCCAGTCATGCCTGACTCTAGGGGATGGTGCTCATCTCCGTTTCCAAGCCGAGGGAGCCAGCGTTTGTCCACAGACAGTCTCCATGTTCGTGTGGCTGGCATGACTAAACACCGAAGTGCACAGAACGCTGATACCTGCCCACCGAAGTGGTACCTTTTTATCTACTTGCATTTGCATGCTTTCAAACAGCAAGGTTGGCAGGAGCTGGGACGGAGCAATGGGAACTCACTCTGTTGTAACAGGTGACCTTTTGATCAACCAGCCCAGCAGCACAGTGGTTTAAACCATTGCGCCACCTGCAGTCCCCATGTTGTTTACATAAAAAGCTATATAAATCTGATACAGTTTTGCAACTGCCATGCTGTTTCTCAACTAAGTAGAGAAGTATTGGTAAACCATTTCTTTATTAAACTGGATCTGCTCATTTAGCAAGGCTATTTCCCACTGTCCAAATATGCTTGGGCATCAACTGGACACATAGCTGGCCAGGATGCCTGCACCTCCAGAAAACACTTGTCGCCTCTATCACTTTGCTTATACTAATCAGATTTCATTTGAGGCTCACTTAGTGACAACTTAAAGTGGCATTAATTGCCCTGAGCAAAGTGGAAGTTTCAGAACAGACACTACAGGGGAATAAACAAAACCAGAATTAGAGGCAGTGCTCTGAAAGTCAGCAACAAGGCAGGATGCAGAATACATTCCAGACACAGATAGTGGGGGTTTTTTAGGACCAAAAGCAGTGAAGATAGAGCTCCAGTATTAGAACCAATTCTTTTCAACCTATTTGTAAATGATCTGGAATAAGAAGTAAGTAGTGAAGTGCTCAAGTTTGCTGATGACACCAATTTATTTAGAACGGTTGAAATCATATGGGATTGTGAGGATCCCACCAAACTGGGGGGGATGAGCATTAAAATGGCAAATGAAGTTAAATATAAGATTAAAGTAATGCTTGTTGTCAAGCATCACAACATCCCAACTACAAGTATGCTAATAGGATCAGAACTTATAGTGACTGAGCAAGAAAAGGATCTTGGGCATGGAACATGGCCAGCTTGATGAAAACGTTGGCCCAAGGCATAACCACTGTGAAAAAAGTCAAGCTAGATGGTAGGCCGAATTAGGAATGGAAAAGAAAATACACCTGCCAAGTTTTTCCTCCCCTTGGTACAACTGGACTAAGAATATTGTGTCCAATTCTGATTGCCTCACTTAAATAAGGCATTATTGAATTAGAAAAAGTACAGAGAAGGAAAACAAAAATGAGAAGCAGCTGCAACAATTGAGATGGTTCAACCTAGGGGAAAAAAGGCAAGTAAGGGGGGACATGATAGTAGTGTTTACAATTTTGCACAGAATAGAGAAAATAGAGAGGGAGACATTTTTCTCCTTCTCCCATAACACTCAAATCCAGGGTCATCCTATGAAGTTGACCAGGGAAAGGTTTTGGACAGACAAGAGAAAATGTTTCTTCACCCAACTTATAATTAATCTATGGAATTCACTGCCATGGAAAGTAGTGATGGACACCAATCTAGATGACTTTAAAAAGGGGTTGGGCAGATTCATGAGGAAGGAGGCTATCAGTGGCTACTAGCCTTGCTGCCTAAGTGCCACCTCCCTCTCCAGAGGTAGCATTCCTGCATACGCCAGGTACTGAGTAGTTAGGGCAGGCAGAGTCTTGTACCCGTCCTGATTTAGCAATCCTGTGGGCAGCTAGTTTGTCACTGTGTGCAAGGGAGTGCAGGACTACATGGACCTTTGGTCTGGTCCAGCATGGCTTTTCTTCTGTTCTTATGTTTTAGTACTGGTTGGACCTTATCAGCCCTTTTGTATCACTAAAGCCACCTAAACCACTTGTTTGTTTGTGTTTGTTTATTGCAATTATATGCCACCCCATAGCCAGAAGGTTCTCTGGACGGCTCACAGTGCAATCATAAACAATAATACAGGTAAAAATAGAAAATACAAATAAAAATCAATGATAATAATAACTAAAAGCACTTGTTTTTAGTTTCAGCAACAGCAGATTAAGGACAGGTCAGATGACTGTTTCTTTGTTGATACACAGTCATACCCTTACATCTTCAGCCCATGTCTTTCTTCAGCACATGCAGATTTCTGGGTATAAATGTGCTTTGCTCAACTGTAGAAGCCACTCTGCTATCCTATAATTTTAAGGTACAGCTGGAGCCATTGTGGGTTAATCTGACTGAAGTTTAGCATTACAAGAAGTTTAGTGCTTGTACATCTTCCATCCTTTCCAATGTAGCCATGAGATCAGAAGCTTGCATTTTGAAGTGCAAGCAAAGCATAATTAAGATTAAACAGAGTTTGCACAGGTTCAGAAGCCACAAACTGTGTTTAATTTACAATGGAAGCAAATGCCTCTAAATGCTTTGAAGTCAAGCCAGAGAAGGAGGAAGAAACATGCAAACCTGAGGTTCATTCTCTGTACAGTAACCAGTGGTTTAGCGTAACATCCAGCACTTTACTTGTTGTTTGTTGTAAACTGTCCCAAGATGCTAGTATAGAGACAGTGTATAAAAACATTCAATTAATTAATTAAATAGATCCAAATGAAGCCATAGTACAGATTCTGCCCATCCCACCCATCACCCATGTATTAGGGGGGACCCCAAAAAAACAGGAATTATCTTCTGGAGGGCAGACCCCCTGTACTACAGGCTTTCCTCACTAGGCGAGTGTTCTAGGAACTCATCTGCATCAGGGTACCCAGCTGGCTTTGTTGTGAGAGGCTGCATATGGCTTCAGTGCGGGGTTTTGTATTTGTTTTGAGGCACTTTCAACGTGTTTCCCTATTTTGTGATGGCTGATTTACACAAACAACGTGCGGCAGTGACATTTTGTTCAGCTGAGTGTTCAGCAATTTTTGTAAAAAACTGCATGACCCTTGTGCCCCACCCCCCTATTTACCCAATCTCGCCCCGTGCAGCATTTTTTCTTTCCCCAGATGAAGAAACGTTTTGCCAGTGCGCAAGCGGTGAAACAAAACAAAAAAAAAAGGCAGAAGCACTGAAAGGCATCAAAATTGATGAGTGCAAAGTCTGCTTTGAGCAATGGAAAAACCGTTTTGATAGGTGTATTGCATCAAACAGAAAGAACTTGAAGGTAACTGAAGTTTGAACATTTAAAAATAAATACACAATTTTTTATAAATAAATTCCAGAGTTTTTTGGGTCCCCCCTCATGTATGGTGAGGCATTCTATGTACTTGAAAAGTACTACATTAAGACAAAATTCCAGCTGTTTCATATTCATCAATGGGTTATACTTACCACTCCCCACCAAAGGGCATCTGCGTAGCTGCTAAATTCATGGTCACCTGAATCATTGACGGCATCTTTTTCAGCCAAGTACACAAAATAAGAAGAAAAAATCAGGCCTAAAAACCCAATGTACAGGGTAGTTATCAGCTCCTGAGAGAAAAACAAGAACAAATGAATTGATTATTTGTGACATATATAACACTGCTGCTAGAAGCTATTTTATCAAACTTATCAGTGATGGTCATGCTTAGTCACTACACTGGGCTCAGTATTCAGCCCAACGAGATGGGTCAGTGAGCTAGGTGGCATCCAGAGAGAATGAATACCACAGACTTTGATTTTGCATGTCCACTTTCTTGGCCCAAATTCTTCAAAAGAGTTAACTTTTCCAGTTTGTTGCAAATCAAAGCTAATGAGCTGGGAGAATCTTCCTGAACTTGGGCACTGTGCAGGTACAGCACCCATACGTGTGATTCACAGAAACCAGAAAGAAGAATGTAACATGGCAATAATGATATACCAAACATGTCTTCAAAACAAAGGACTGAAGTGTGATTCATTGTCCATGCAATCCCATGCCTAGTCACTGAATTCAATCAGTCTTACTCCTAAGTAAGAATGTACAGGATTGTGGTCTGAATTTTAAAATTAATGTTACAGACTGATACTTAAACCTACAAGAAACACAGGTGTGAGGTTCAGGATTAACTGTGGTGGACATGAAAGAAATTGTACCAGAGGCCAACCAACATATTTTTGTATGTTTATTTTGTTTTCGAAACACAGATTTCAAAATTACTGTGGCTCTCATTTAAGACAATCATATGACTACAAGTAAAGTAAAACTTAATTAAGGGAACAATCTAACTGGGATTCCCACAGACCTACATTCTCTGAGCTTTATGGGCATCCTATGGAGGGCAGAAGGAACATGGAGGTCAAGGTGACCCTGATGGCTCCCCCACCTTGCCGTTCAGATGAACTTCTCATTTCAGCTGACCAGCCCGGGGGGGGGGGGGGCGCAGCGGAAGGAGGCTGAGGTGCCACAGGGATACATCACAATATGGTGGCACTGGCTTCTTCCTCCCACCATCCCCAAACCCTGTCTCGGAGGTTGCTCTTGCACGTGGCTCTTTCTGTAACAGTGGTGGGAGCAGGGGGCACTCCAAGAGCAGATTTCCATCTCTGAGGTCATAGCTGGAATTCCAAAATACCCTACGGCTGCCTAGAGACATCACTAGCTGCCCATCACTGTGTCAGGTGGTTTTCATATTCCAGGTCCTTCTAAAGCTGGTAACTATACTTTGAGATCAGGCAAAACAGAAAGCTATGATTAATTAAAGGCTTCCTGTTTAATTGTGAATCAAAACTAAGGCAAAAGGATAAAGGCTGCAAACATCTACAAAAAGCTTGTGCAATTGATTTAACAAACCTTGATATAATAATATGAACAGAAACCTTCCCTAGAATTAGTTTCAAGTAGCTACTGGGCACACAGTATAATATTTAATGTAATTAAGAATTAGAACTTGAAAAGTAATTAGACTGCTTTCATATACATTCACACTGCCTTGTCTCTATCACCAACTGAACATTAAAAAACAAATAGCTCAACCTTAAGGCAAAAATATACTTGAATATAAACCAGTTTGTTTCCATTTAAGTCTAAGAACTATTATGTAAATGAATGGCTTGCTGAATAGATTGCTGCAGTTTGATTGAGGTTTTGATTATCAGACCCTTTTTATTGTTTCCATTCTATGTTTTGTTATTTTTAAATTCTGTAAGCTGCCTTGAGGTCTTAGTGATAAAGCATGGTAAAAAATGTTATAAACAGAAGTATGTAATTTATTTTATTTGAAACATACACCTATAATCCGATAGTGATGCATTCATGTGCTTAGCAAAAATGTGTAAAGTGAATACAACCTTGCTGACACACTATATATTGATTTGAACACTTTCCTCAAGCTTATGCATCTATCTGTGTTGTGACCTTTGACAAAGCCACACCACAAATGTGGTTCCATCAAGCTGCACCCCTTGTACTGGCACAAACATTGGTTGGAGCTGTTACAGTTAACACAGCGTCTTATCTGGCAAGGAAGGCAGTCATCCAGTTCTGTCCTCTGTTAAGAGTAACCAGACATGTTCGCTATAGACTGGTATTAGCCTTTATGCTTCCAATGAAATGCAAAAGTCCATTATATGCCAAATAAAGGGGCAGGGGAGGGCTTTCTCCTCCCTGTACCCAGCCATGCTTCAGCAGGGACATCTGAGCAACGTTACTATTCTGGAGCTCTAGCAGAGGGGAAAGGGATTTCATTTAGCCCTGGCATTTCCCGAGCAGTGTGATGATCTACAGAAGGGTGAGCAATGGTCATACTCCAGAGGTTCAGGCCTACAGCTCTCACTGTTCCTCGCCACTAGCTATGCTGGCCAGGATTGGTGGGAGCTGCAGGAGGGTTCCACCACTTTGTCCACTCCAGTCCACGGTATCCAGCTGCCCAATGTGCTTATTGCCCTCACTTCCTTTCTACGGTTTTACATACCTGTCTGTGTATGAAAACTACTGATCCCAACAGTCTCCATGTGCCACCCTGTCGGTCTACGTGAAGCATGCGCAGAATCTGCAGAAACCGGATGCCTCTGGAATAATATTTATTAAAAACAAAAGACAAGAGAAAGTGAGAACAAAGTCCAAAAGTGCAAGAATGATTATGAGAAAAAAGAAGGAAAGACATGTTTTTGTACAAGTGGTAGAAAGAAAAAGTTTTAAATTATCATTAACATTTTTACCTGATAGCTGAGGTTGCAAAAACTTGACCTTTAGAGCCCACACAAAGTACTATCATTGACGCAACAACTACAATTAGATCTGGAAGAGTAAAAGTAACATACTTTAGATTATGTAATTTATGCAACTTATAATATTCAGACAGTTTAGACAATTAGTTTTATCCTGAAACCAAACTGCAATTAAGTGTGCAGGGTTTTGTATGTGAGTGAGTGAGTGAATGTATATGCCACTGACTGCCAAACCTTAATATCTGAAAGATAAGAATCTCCATTTTTTTAAATGATGGAATTTGAGCAAATATTATTCAAACAAAGAGATTAATCTACTTCCATGTCTACAGACAGAACAAACATTATATGTTAATGCATGTAATAAAAGTTGAACAGAAAGTTCAAATAAGCGTCTGAATTCTAGGAGTGAGCAATTTGTGCTAAAGAAGTGAGGCGAAGTGCCTCCCTACTGCCACTTCTCCCTTGCAATCAGTCACCTATTTTAGCCACAGAGGTTTCACAAGTAATGTTTACATTTCTTAGCATGGGGTAGTTGCGAGTAGCTGCTGATGCTACACTCATTGTATTTCGAAAATGTGCTAGTTTATGGCCAGGCGATATGATACAGGCAGCAGCCCGTCCTCTGGCAAAATTCATCCAAGGTTACAGTGCAAAACATTTCCACCGGTAACTATATCGTGAATAAAATGGGAAACCTTTTACAGCACTGACACACCCAGCTCTTCCCTGACTTAACGCTTTCATGAACGAATTCCTACTTTTTATACCCCTTATAAAACAATATCCCAATTATACAGAATCGATGTGATCTTTCTGCAATGTATTGCATCACATAAAAGTTTAAGTTTAAACATCACAGGCAATACCCAGTTTGTTTAACAGTGGAAATGGGGCAGGGGTGGGGCACTTATCCCTTCCATTCTCAATTAACAACACAGGCTTTACCCAACAATAAACCACAGGCAACTGCTGGATTAACTCTGGGTTGTTTAACCCTAAACAATTCACACTTCTGGATGTGAACACCAGAAGATGTTAATCAAAAATGAAAGTAGTGAACAGCATGCTCTCATACTTGCCCTGGTACATTTTGCCAGTTCCTGAGTTAAACAACCATTATGTGCAAACTCAGTCAATTAGATTATGCAAAAAAGTAAAAGCTTATATTTTTCAGGATAACTTATATTATTCTATCAAAACTTTTAAATACTATGTGTACTCACCAATGATAGAAATGGGTTTCCTAGCAAAACGAAGTCTTCCCCATAAACCAACATATTTACTGCGGCATCCTGATGACCACAATCGAACCACATACTCTGTTCCAAAGAACACCACTAATACAATTTCCTAAAGAAAACAGAGAGGCAAAATAATTTGACACACTTTTAATGCTTTTCATATGATACAGCAGGGGAAATGAAATGGAAGATCTAAAACTCAGAAAAGATTCTATAAAGACCTAAAGGTATAGACAATCAGGAGGACATTTACAAGTTTTAAAATGATTACACTTAATTTGGATCATCCACACATGATAAAAACAAACAAATTTGCAAGTTAGAATTGGATGTTACTAATATCTTCCCAAATTCTCACCTAATTCAAAGGTTCTTAATGAACAGAAATATCATTAGAATTGCTGCCTCATTTTCTAACAGCATTACTACAGAAACTATCTCAGAAAGGTGTATGTTTCACATCTACAATGTATAGAAAACACAACACAATATTGCTTTATGCATTGGATTTTCATTTCACAGAACATGTTGTAAATTTGACTTAGTACAACTACTGCCAAAAAGAATATACCATACCTTAACAGAGTTTTGCACAAAATGGAATCTCTTTTTCCTTTCATTAAATTGATTCTGCAAATATTTATCTGAACATTTTATCAAAACTTTCTGTAATTCTAATACTACAACCCTCTATAAGCATACCTGGGAGTAAGCCAATGAGTCTTACTTCTCAGTAAGCATGTACAGAATTAGCTGCCAGTGAAACAACTGAATACATGAAAATAGTAAGACTATTTTATTTTGTTAGTTTTTAGGTTACTAGCTTTTACAAATCCTTGACTATTCTAGACTCCCATTTTGCTCCTTTTCATCACCATGTGATAAAACAACTAGTTTGCACAGCATCCTGGATGAAGATAGTAAGCAGGCAGAAAAAACAACTGGGTCATTTTTAAAAAAAGGCAAGTGGCTTAAAAAAAAAACCTCATGCCATGTATGTGCTTCAAACACCATCTTTTAATATGCCAAAATACAAGAAAATAGTGATTAACTAAAATCAAATTCTGAGAAAGGGAAAAGAGAAGGCTACACTAAAAAATGCCACACATGCAAATTAGAATTAAATTTTGTAAGAAGAATAGGAAAATAGAAAGAAAGAAAAGGCTAAGTTATGGGTGCTTTCAGATTTGCAATGTGTGGGTTGGAGGGGGAGAAAAGTAGCCTGAGTAAAATTTGCATCAGAAGTTGTGTGTTTTAAAGACCCTCCATGGTTCATTGGATAACAGGAACACTGACAAATATGCAAATGTGGGCTGCCCTAAAGACAATGAAACAGACATGTAGTCAATGGTTACTGTCATCCAGTTCTTTGCATGACATACAGACAAGCTTAGAGAACACTGATTGTTCTATAGACTCCTGCAACTGGGGAGAACGACCAGTCGGCTTACACCAAGACACATTTTTCACTCCTGACGTTTCGATAAAGGCTTATTGACCTAAATGAGACCCACGTTATTCAGGAAACATCAGAGGTGAAAGTGCACAAGCTGTTCTTCATGGTCATACACAAAAATGCCAGGTATCCATTAGCAACTGGCAAATTCTCCCTCCCCTGCCCGTGGCTGGGTGACGGACGAAAGTGTTTTTTAATATCTTGCCTTGTATAAGCCCAATAAGTAATCTAGTGGGGGAGGAGGAGATGGATTGATTTTTGTCACTGCATTTAGACACAGCTGCCAGAGAAGTTGCAGACAGGCAAAAGGCTACGCTATTTACATTTAAAATAAGTTGAGACACTCATTAGAAAGGCAAACAAACAAGTCCTCATGAACTACTTCAATATACCCCATATACCATTCGTCAGTAAGCTGAAGTTTCAGCCGTTTAGATGTGAATGTACTTTACCACAGCAGCTAGCATATGTCTCAGAATTCATTTCAACTTTTCCAATTGTGAATAAGGATGAACAGTTCCAAATTTAATGGAATAACTTCATTAGGCACTAAAAACACATCGAACAATAGCGAACAATTTTCTGGAAGTCTACAAACTGCATGTGAATCTTCCGGATTATTTGGAGAAATCCAATCTGAGTTCTGGAGTTAGGTAAAAGCTGGAATGCTAAGCACACTTCTGTAGTGAATCTGTCTCATTGAACACAATTAGACTTCCTTCCAAGCACACATGCGCAGAATTGCAATGCACAGTGCACTGCATAAGCTTGTTCAAACTAGGTTAAAGCAATATATCAAGAGCAAGATACAAGCAGAATCTAATAGAAATATGAAAGGAAAATAGAAGAGTTAACTTAGACAACAGATAGAATCCAAAGAAAGAAAGGATACTAGTAATAAATTATGTTAGCAAAGAGAAAATTTGCTAACATACTTACAGATGTCAACTATGTTAAGTATGATATACAATGAGAACCAATGGAGCAGTCATATGATGGGGTAACCAAAAAAAGGCACAACCAGCCAAAGCTCTGCAACGCAGCTGCAACAGTGCAAGTGACTCAGCTGTATTGCAAACAGGCATTCTTGCATCCCAATGAATGGCTGCACGGTTTCAGTGCTATACCAGGTCCAGTAACTACTGTGGGCAAGAGTAAACTGGTATTATTGAGAGTCAAAATAGGCATTTGTCTGAAAATATAACCAAACATTCAAAAGCAGCTGCATAATTTTTACTCTAGAATATGTGCAGGGCTCCCAGTGTGGATCAGGACCATGAGATTGGAGTCAGAGAAGTTTATTAGTCACCCTTCCCACCCTGATCCAGGTCAGGTCACCAGTGCTTTCAATTTACCAGCACATTTGCTTGGTTGGCTGTAGATACACCTTTAAAGTAACATCTGTTTTGGCCTTAGCCCTTTTTACAAAGGAAATACATCATTACAGTTCCTTTACCACAATGATAGGACCATACCTGATGGCAGACTTTAACTTGCGGAATCTGCTTAATATTTTATTACTCCATGATCTGCCAGCAAGTATGTGCATAAGGCATACATGTAGAAATAAAGAACAAATGTGACCCAGTGCATTCTGTTCCGGGAATTTGCTTTCAGTATCTAAACTGAGCTTACAATCCTTTAATGCAAAAGTCCACTTCCGGTTCACTGCCTCACATCCTGGCTTTCTTGGTCTCAAAAGCCTAATTCAGGAACAAAATGATTCATTTTGTTGTTGCATTCAAACATTTTTGATCTACTGCAAATCATCCAAACATCTTCCAGTAGCTTCTGATCTAACTTCTGCTTGCCACCTTCATAAATTATGGAAGTGTGAGGGGATGCTACTACTACAGCTGCATGGCTAACTGCAGCATATTTGATTATATAAATATTTCTGACTGAAATGAAATACTGACCCTTCCAGAGAAGAAGCAGTGTTAGTCTGTCGTGGCAGGTGTCTTGTAGCTCCTTAAAAATTAATCCACTTATGATGGCAGAAGTTTTCACAGAGTATAATTGACTGCAACTTCATTCTGCAACTTAGAATAATACTTCATGCACCCAAAGGAGTCTATGAATACTTATGCTATACTTTATGCATTTAAGTGCCACAAAATTCTTGAGTTGTGAGAACAGACTGTTACACCTATTCTTCTGAAGCTAGAATTAAAATTATAGGGGCCCGAATACATACTACAGACATCACGGCTGAAACATGTCGCATCAGCTGTCATAGGTGGCATGGTCCAGGAACAGAACCCCTTAGACTGAAATCTCCTGGGATACTGACTTTGCGCAAGTGCTAGAACCAGTCTTTCTCATCTGGGACACCACTGAGAATTGCCACTTTCCCCTGACTAAGGTATGTACTCTTCTAGTGAACTGGAAGATCTCCAGGAGCTGCCCCCAGCTGGCTCTTCACTCCCCAGGAAAAGGAATATGCCTACAGATGCTGGCTGTGGAACTGTTTCTCTTCGAGCTGCCTGACCCACACTGCCTCCTCACCTCTGTGATGATGGAATCACAAATGCAGCACAAATTTCAGGCTCATAAAATGCCTGGTGCTGGTGTGGAAATTACGTATCTCCTCCCATCTCTTTGTTCATAGTGTGTGTCAAGTTTTGGATGCAGTAGCCAAAAGCCCATTTCTATAATTAAACCCTTTACATCAGAAGTTCTGGAATTGTATCACACTTTAATTAAACTCTTCGCATGCCTTTAGATAGACAGCTGCAAAGAGGAAACCTTTGTCTAATCACAATGCTCCTGGGAGGAAACACACTGATAATCACAAGATCTGGAACATGTACCCCCCAGAGAATGAGAGAGAGTGTGTGTATTTATTTCTGCCGCACTTCAAAGTGCAAAAAAGACATTCCCAATATCAAAGCAGCTTGACCTTCTTTCAATGTGGGACAGTTGCAACTTCCTTAAGCAAATTTAATTTTGCACTGGAATTTTGCAGCTGACAGCCACTGCTTAGAAGGTACTTCCATATTTTTACTTACTGATCTTTGGACAAACTACTGGCTGCATGGCATGGTTTCTCTGAAGAAGAAAAAAAATAGCATAGTAGAGGTAAGACTATAATGTAATATAATGTAATGTAATTTAAATTAGTCATCAGCTGAAGCCAAAACAAAGGCATAGTGAAAAGGAGCTAAGGCTTAGGAGAAAAAAATCCTTTAGAAATTGACCATTTTTGCAGTCCTGTTCCAGCAAAGAAGCAGTAAGTGGTTGCAGAAAACTTCAACATGATATTTACAGTAAACCAAGTTTAGAAAGCAGCAAAATAAATAAGTGTGATAAAAGCCACAATGCTATCATAGCTCACAGGAAAAAAAAAATGTTTTCATACAAAAGGTGTAAGGTTAGCTTTTACTCCAAGCACAGTGTAGGCTTAGTTTTAGTTCATTAAGTGAAATTCATAAGCTGATGTTTAAGTAGCTTTTGAGACAATTTAAGAGCTCAGCTTTTAATTCTACTTTAATTAATAGCCAGTTTTAAAAACCATAATGTAAACCCAGAAAGCACACATGGAACCAGGATCATAGTGAGTCAGTCCTTTGAATTCCCAGAATTGTACCACTGTGGGGGAGAAGAACAACAACGAAAATTGGGGACCTGCTACACATGCCTTCTGGGGGTCA